AAGATATGTCACAGTAGCTTTTGCGAACTCACATTTTGCTAAGTTTACAGTTAAATTTCCATCTACCAGTCGTTCAAACAAAGCGTGAATGCGACTTAGATGATCCTCCCAAGTGTTACTGTATATTACCACATCATCCAAATATACAGCACAACCAACAAGTCCTTATAGTCCAACAACCTTATTCATGAGGCGTTGAAATGTAGCTGGTGCGTTACGTAAGCCAAAACCCATGACTGTATAAGAGAACAAACCAGATGGTGTTATAAAGGTAGCTATTTCTTGAGCTCTTGGGGTCAATGGCACCTGCCAGTACCCTTTCAATAGATCGAATTTACTCACATATTTCGCTGCACCAACTTGGTCAATGCAGTCTTCGACTCGAGGCAATGGATACGAGTCAGGTTTGGTTACCGCATTTACCTTTCGGAAATCTGTACAGCAAACAAGCAACAAGCAAACATGGTGAAGCCCAACTAGAGGAAGAAGGCCCAGCAATATGATTATGAAGCATGTACTCAACATGACTTCAGTACTGATGCAGGACCATGGGGGACGACAGAGACCTGTAGCCTACCTCTGAACAAAACTTGAGAAAATGCCGATCTGGAACTGTTTGTGGACGACTCAGCCTCAAGAAACCCAGCAACTGGTAAAAATCTAGCAGCTTTCACAATCACAACCTCGTATGACACAATAATGGCAGAACTACTCCTAGGAAACAAATCTGTTAGTCACACTGACAGAAGAATGTGAATATGCAAAAGACAAAACTGTGAACATTTTTAACAGACAGCAGATAAGTGTGGGGGAAAATTCCTAACATCCACAAGTAAACCTATTGTTTATCACACCCTTGATGCCGTGTTGTTACCAAAACTATTTGCAAATATGAAGCACGCCCTAACAACCTTCCTTCTATCTCTTAGGGCAATGCCAGCGCTGCGAATGGCAAACAAGGACAGACAGTTCAATGTGTTGCCCTGACTGACTCACTAGGAGGAAGCTGCATGGAAGAAAGTGGATTGTTCATTTACTGACAAATGTGGCACAGGCCAGATAGCAAGCCTACCAAAATATCTAGGCTGACATGGGAAATTCTCTGTTCTCATTCCCATGTCGTCAAATACAGACACAAGTGGTTTTGGTTGAAATCATTTAAACTTCACCACGAAAAGCCCCTAACCCACTGCTCCTTTAATATAAACATCTCACATTAAATATGAATATGTGACAGACCTTTGATCATTGATACTGTTTGAATTACAAAAATCATTTCTAGTGGAGACTTTACAATGGTTCCTAATGTTAATAACAAATGTAATATTCAACCAGCCTGATTGCTTCAGCAGACGGATGTGGTTACACTTATGTGGCAACTTCCTGAAAGAATATGCACGAGCAGCGGATCAGAAAACATCTGCAGTCACAGCATCCATCTGTCACGAACAGGTACGACTAATATTTTATGATCCTTTACAGTTAGTTTACTCCAGTAATGTCTGCAGACACAGCAGGAAAACAGACCCGCAGTATTTTTATTATTACAGATGATTTTTTTGGCATTTCTGCTTCATGTCTATAGACAGCTGCAGAGAGAGAGAGGGGGGGGGGATGATGGTACTGTTCTGCCAGGTGAGCTACCGCGACACCCCTAGAGTCCCATAATTTATAACATTAATGTATGAATTTGATTTGTGCTTTGATATTTTGTCTGTTTTTAGGAAGTAGTGTTTCTCATCATTAATTTAATTTGTGGTATCAACTGTTTATCAGTGGTGTGATTTTACAGCCTTAGATTAAACTAAAATAATATGAATTCGCTGGTGTAACAGGAAGAAGATGGTGAGCAGCCACAGAAAACAGGAAGCTCACTCATGTGTATTATGTGTATAGCTTATTGCCACGTACATTGTAAAAGAATAATCTGTGTTGAAAGGGTTGTTCCTTTTTTTTCACCGTTTTTTTTAAATGAACATGAATGTTTAGTGTAAAATAACTAAATATTCATAAAATTACTGTTTATTTTAAGAAAATGTCATTGTTTTCAACATACATTTTTTAGAAGACATTTGCAAATCTATATTTTTTTTGCAGATATTTGTTTATTTAAAAAATTAAACTGTTAAATTCAGGTTTAATAAGTTTAATTTCTAAATTTATGTAAAATTAGTGAAAGTTAGTAGAAAGGGTATTGTGTAATTTTACATGGATTTGT